TCATCGCACGTCGGTATTGTCACTCATCTAGACAGCTCATGGGGCCAACCGCGCACCCTCCGCGCAGCCTAGCCGTCTATTCGCCACCCCATTCAAATCCATCGCCGCCCCGACCACCTTCCGTCTGTCATTACTCAATAATCTCCCAAACAATCTATAGACTTAAAAAAAATTCAATGCGCCTATTCTGCGGTGCCCCCCGTCGTCGTTCGGTGAGACTTCGTGCTTACAAACCACACGGGGCTAGTCCCGTGCTCCTCATTCATCATAGATCACTTGATCCAGGTCCTGTGCCTCTTCCCCTCAAGACCTCGAAATTGAACTCGTCTCGCTCAAGTGGTCTCTTGGAGACGACACCCCAATTCAAATAGAAAATCGCCTGGCTCGGTCGTCCTGGCCGCGCCGCGACCTTCGATGCGCGCCCCCACCAACCGACACGTTTCGCCATCGATGTGCGAGCAAATCCCCCGCCACACACGCGCGCGCCTGCTCTCGCTCGCGCGACGTGCCCGCACCCATCTGGCGCGAGTATAAAGCGCGACCTCTCCCGCGAACTAATCTTCTCTCTTCACCGACACTCGCTGCCGTTTGTCCTTCACCTCCCCCCTCAACCCACCAAGCTCATCTCACCATGTCGTACGAAGAGGGTCTCCGCCGTCACCAGCAGCAGCTCGAGGCGCACCAGAAGGCCGAGCAGGACCTGATTCGTCTGCAGCAGCAGCACGCGGCCATGACCGCGGGCGCGGCGTACGGCGGCAACCAGCAGCAGCAGCACCAGCAGCAGAACCAGGGCCAGTACCAGCAGAACCAGGGCCAGTACCAGCAGCAGAACCAGCAGCAGCAGTCGTCGTCCTACAACCAGTCGCAGTCGCAGTCGCAGTCGTCGAGCTACTCGCACTCGCAGTCGTCGAGCTACTCGCAGTCGCAGTCGTCGAACTACCAGCAGACCAACAACTACCAGCAGACCAACAACTACAACCAGCAGGGCGGTCAGCAGCAGGGCGGCTACCAGCCGATTGGCCAGGGCCAGCAGCAGCAGGGCGGCTACCAGCCCGTCGGCCAGCAGCAAAACCAGCAGCAGGGCCAGTGCCACCAGCAGCAGCAGGGCGGCCGCCAGGTCCGCGCCGTTACGGTCCAGATTGGTACGCTTCATTTTCTCGCCTTCTCGCTTTCTCGCGCGCACGCACGAGCCACGCGAGCCGGGCGACCCCATCCACTGACCCCCGCTTTTCCACACCTTCTCCAACAGGCGAGGCCCGCAACCTCCACGACGTCGAGTCGCTTGGCCGTCAAGATCCATACGTGGTCCTGACCGCTGG